CGGAATAATGAGTCTGAGAGACGATAAACAGTTTGCTTGATTTCATACAACCAACAGATAATGAGTTATAATTGTCTCAAATAGTGAAATCAGTAAATAAGAATTTAAAACTTTGGGAGAGAGTTGACAGCTTTAAGTATGCTGTCTTCTGGTGCAGGATAAGCCACAACTGGAGATGGCTGCATCTCATATCTCAGCACGAGTTCAAGTCCCAGCTTTTCTGGTTCTGACCTAGCTTTCTGTTAATGCATCCTGGGAGGTTTGGGTGATGGCTTGAGTGCTTATTCCTGTGTCACCCACGTGGGGGACCCAGATTGAGTTCCAGGTTCCTGGCTTTGACATGGCCCAGCCTTGGCCATTGCAAGGACTTAACATTAAACCAAAGATGGGATGTCAATTTCTCTCTCTCTCTCTCTCTCTCTGATGTTCTGCATTTCAAGTAAAAGTTTTATTTATTTAGCTTTTTCTTAATTTTTCTCAGTAAATAGGTCATAGGTTTCAGTGCTGATATGCACAATTTTTGTAAGTTTTTCCCTTTGCTGTTTGTCATCCTTTGATGGTTTCATGAATAAATAAAAGGTATATTTTTTTTTAATTCCCATTGTTTAAAATTCCCACTTGTTTTTGATGTACACAAATCTGAATGCAATCAATTCTTGTATGTAGATAGTATATCCACTGAAGTTTGCTAGGTTCATTTTTTCAAGTAGCTTATACACAGATGGTTTTGGATGTTCTATTCACATAGTCATGTCTTCTGCAATAATTATTGCTTGATACATACTAATTTAAGATTATAACATCTTACTCTTGAACAATCTTTTTGACTTTATAAAGTGGTCCTCTTCATAAGGGCTTACTACATTAAACTCTAATGACTCTAATATCAGAAAAGCAGTAGTATTGACCTTTTTGTTAATGTTATTATGAGGTTTTCCACTTCCTATTTTCAATTTTAAATAGGTAAACAATGTGTGTATAGGTTGTGTACAAGTACAGTTGATATTTGCTTGTTAAATCCAGTTTGACAAATTTTGTCTTAAAGTTTTATTTATTTATTCATCTATAATATAATTATTGGTCTGTTTGTATTTTCCTTTAAAATTGACATGTAGCATATCCTAAATAAAGAAAGCTGAACAAATCTGGACAAAGAAAAAAGTACAGAATGCATTAGTGGCTGTTTAGAAGCATAGCTGTATTACTAAAGAAGATTCCACTCAGAGCAAGAGAGATAGTTATCCTTCATAGATTTGAAAATACACAAGAGGAATCGTGTAATAAGGATAAAATATAGACAGTTTTCCACATTGGAAGACTACCAGGCAGGCTTACCAAGGCCTCTGTTGGCTATAGATGGTTAAGTCATGCCAAAGGGCAGCAGGTAAGACGTCACTTGGGAAGCCCCACCCCATCCCATACCAGAGTGCCTGGTTCAAGTTCTGGCACCTCTTCTGACCCAACTTCCTAATTGTGTACAAACTTGGAGGCAGAAGATGATAGCTCATGTACTTGGGTCCTCGCCATCCACCTGGGAGACCCAGATTAAACTTCTGGTTCCTTGCTTCAGCCTCGCCCAGTCCTGGCCAGCGTGGCCATTTGGGAGAGTAACTAGCAGATTGAATATCTGTCTTTTCATTTTTCAAATGAAGTGCAAATACATAAATAAAATGTATAAACAATAAAATCATAAGGAATAGTTCAGTTAGTCTCAAATGAAGAGAGGAATTTCAGTATCACCCAGGTCTCAAAACAGCAGATACTTTTCTGTCTCAGTTCAAGGATGGGAATATTCTGCTGTTAATTTGTTTTCTCTCCTGCCCTGATTAGACAGATGAGGTGTAACTGTTAAGGAAAAATAAATTACAGTCGCAATGCATGACCATCCGTATTGCAGGTTCCAAATTGTACGTTGCTAGTTCATTATCCTAGCCTAGAATGTAAAAAATAAAGTCACAGGAATATTTAGTAACACTAGCAAGGAGAAAGAGGAGAAGTAGGACTCAAAACACAAAAGGGGTTTTTGCAAACTCTGTTTTTCACCTAATCTAACTTCACTCCCTTACTGAACAGGTAATGTAGGGTAGACATGAAGAGTTTATTACAGGTCAAATCCATAGGCTATGAAATTAGACTATGCTACTTGCCATATCCATGGCTTAAGACAAACACTAAAATTTTCCAAGACTAGGTTTTCTCATCAGTAAAATGAGAAAAATAATATAAACTGCTTCCTAGTGATAATGTGGGGGGCTAAATTACATGTAAACCAATGGGAAAAGTGCCTGGAATATATGAGCAACTGTTCAAACATGGTTACCATTTTTTAAGATTTATTTATTTTATTTGAAATTCAGAGAGAGAGATGGAGACACACACCCACACATACACAGAGAGAGAGTGAGAGTGAGAGCGAGAGAGAGATGTTCCATCTGTGGATTCACTCCCTAGGTGGCTGCAACTGCTAGGGGTCTAGTCCAAAGCCAGGAGCTAGAATCATCTTTCAGATCTCCCACGTGTGTGGCAGAGGCTCAACCACTTGGGCCATCTTCTGCTGCTTTTCCCAGGCCATTCGCAGGGAGCTGGATTGGAAGTAGAGCAGCCAGGACACGTATCAGCACCTATGTAGGCTGCTGACATCACAGACAGTGGCTTTATCTACAATGCCACAATGCTGGCCCTCATTTCCATTGTTACTATCATTGTCATTATAATATCACCTAAGTACAGAGCCAGTTTTCACAAATTTCATATTTTTTACACAGCAATGTTTGTAAATTTCAGATCATACATTTTTATTGACACTCTCAACAACAAAACAGAACCTGCTTATCATACCACCAACAGTGTGTAGAAAGAACCATGATCACAATATTCTTTTCTTGAATTTGTATTTATTTATTTGAAGGAAAGAGACTGACAGAGATAGAGTGTCCATCTGCTCATTCATTCTCAGCTATCTTCAAAAGATGCTTCTTAATTAGTTCAAAACCAAGAGCCCAGATTCAATCCATGTCTCACATAGATGACAGGGACCAAAGTACTTGAGCCATCAGTTGCCACCAGAAAGCAGGGATGGGTAACAGAGCTGTGAGTAGGATCCAGGCACTCTCATTTGAGATGTGGTTACCCCAACCTGTGTTTCAACCAAAATATCAATCGCCTCCACCACGAATACAATATTCTAAATTCCAATTAGCCTATGCTATTGAGGACCAGCTCATACACTCAGCTTTGTCTTTTCATGCGAGCTATAGAGGAAAAGGACTGAAGTGTGAAATCCTTTCATACCAATTTAAGGGAAAAAAACAGATTTTCAGTTTTCTACTCAAATAGTAACTATGTCCAGCAACTTTACCAAGGAAAGATTCTTTTAAATATTTTTTATCAAGAATCTTTTAAATATCATTTTAGGGGCAGACTTGTGGCACAGGGTGTTAAACCTTCCTCTTGAATCTCCCACATCCCATATAGCAGTGACTGGTGCGGGTACCAGCTACTCTGCTTCTGATTCACCTTCCTGCTAATGCATGTGCATCGCCCAAGTACTTGAGTCCCTGCCACACATGTGGCTTGTGCACGCATTTGGGGAGTGAACCAGAGGATGGAAGATTCTCTTGCTCACTCTCTTCTTTCTCAGTCTCTGTCTCACTGTGTGTGCGTGTGTCACTCTGCCTTTCAAATGAGTAAATAAGCATTTAAAAACTAGAACAATATTTTATATTTATTCTTAGGACAGAGTTTTAAGCTATCATTCAAAAATTTTGTTTTATTTCTCTTCCTGCATATATGTTTATTTGCTTATGAAGTTGTAAATAACAAGACGGAATGTTACATTTCTAAGATCACTTATAAAAATATATATGCAATGCATTTGTCTTTGTTGTAGTCATCATCCTATGTATTAGATCACTGTAGTCCTCCTGGCTAAATGAAGCTCTTTACCCTTTGATCAACATTTCTGCCTTCCCTATCTTCCACTCCCATCCTCTGGTAACCATCATTCTATTCTCTACTTCTATGAGTTCAACTTTTATAGATTCCGCATATGAGTGAGATAATGTGATATGATTCCTTTGAGTCTGGCTTGTTTCACTTTGCGTAGTGTTCCCCAGATAAATTTACATTGTTAAAGATGACAGAACCAGCTCCCCCACCCATCTTCTAAGGTTGAATAGTACTCTATTCTGTCTATATATCATATTTTATTTATCAACTCATGTGATGGTAGACATCTAGTTGCTTCTCTATCTTAACTATTGTGAATAATACAGCAAAGAATGTGGAAGTGCATATATCTCTCCCATATACTGATTTCAGTTCCTTAGAATGTATACCTAGCAGTGGGATTACTGTATCATATTTTAATTCACCATTTTCCATGATGGCTGTCCTAATTTACATTCCTAGCAGTAGTGTGCTTTTATCCATACCTTCACCAGCACTTTTTTTTAAAGATTTTTTTTTTTCCCAAATGTAAACTCTCTTTATTTGTAATTATAGAGAGACCAACTGGAAAAACAAAACAAAACAAAAAGTAAGCAACCTAAAGCTGATTTTTCATGTATTGTTTGCAGCCACTTTGGAAGTAGTATTGCATTATATTTATTCAAGGACGTCAGATGAATGTACACTGAGGCTGTGACGTCCCCAAGTGGCCCGGAACCACTGTCATTTAAAGCAGACAGCGTGAAGGTTATCCGAACAATAGCAAATGAGCAAAAGGAACATGCTTCAGCATCACCGAGTAGATGTTGTTCCATTGTGCAGATGTATGAATAGCACGGCAATATGTACATTAGTACTTATCTCTGCAACTCCTATACCTTCTGTGCTTAAAGATTAACACATAATTAGAAAGCAAATGAAAGCTATCTAGACATTGCCCTGAAATACATCACACCAGAAAATACTTCCACATTCAAAGCAATGATTTCTTATATACAAATGTGCACATGCATACATAATCACAAAATACACATATTAAATACACCTTATGATTTTTTTAAGATTTATTTTATTTATTTGAAAGACAGAGTTACATAGAGAGGTAGAGCCAGAGAGAGAGGTCTTCCATCCACTAGTTCGCTCCCCAGATGGCCGCAACAGGCGGAGCTGTGCCGATCAGAAGCCAGGAGCCAGGAGCTTCTTCTGGGTCTCCCACGTGGGTGCAGGGGCCCAAGGACTTGCGCCATCTTCCATTGCTATCCCAGGTCATAGCAGAGAGCTGGACTGGAAGAGGAGCAGCTGGGACTCGAACCAGCACCTATATGGGATGCCAGTGCTTCAGGCCAGGGCATTAACCCGCTGCACCACAGTGCTGGCCCCATCAGCACTTTTTATCTTTCATCTTTTTATAATAGACATTTTAAAAGCTGTGAGACAGTATATGTGATTTTTTTTTTTTTGACAGGCAGAGTGGACAGTGAGAGAGAGACAGGGAGAAAGGTCTTCCTTTACTGTTGGTTCACCCTCTAATCCGGGACTAGAACCTGGGGTGCCGGTGCCGCAGGCAGAGGATTAGCCTATTGAGCCGCAGCGCTGGCCAGTATCTGTGGTTTTAATTTGTGTTTACCTGCTGGTCAGTAATGAGCATTTTGAAATATATCTGTGAGCCATTTGTATGTCTTCCTATAAGAAGTGTCTATTTAAGTCATTTATCCAATTTTGATTCAGTTATTTGCTTTCTTGCTTTCGCGTTGTTTGAGAATCTTATATTTTTCTAATATTAGCTCCTTATCAGATATGTGGTTTGCAGTATGTTCTCCTAGTACATGTATTGTCTCTTTAGAGGTCAATATTTTAAATTACAGCTAAACTAAATTTATAAATTTTGCAAATGCAAACTCTATATTTGTTTTTGCATGATTTGATGTTCTTTCTTATTTTTCCTCTTATTTTCCTAATAAATATCTGAAATCATTGCATTTAATTTTGGGATTAGGAGAGAATTTTTATTGTCATTCAGGGAAGAAACAGAGTAAGGAATAGTATGAAGATTCTTTACCACAGGATGGGCAAAACTCTGGCCTGCAAAAAACACAGAAAAAATATGTCATTCAAACTTTTTCAATTATTACAATTGTGTCCTTAAATTTAGCTGAACTTTCCACAATCTATATTCAATCTTTTCAATTGTCTATTAATGGAGCTGAAGTTTGTGTGATATATTTAGCTAATCATCCTGAAATGATCTCAAGGAAATAATATCATTTTCTAAATCTCTGTATCATTTGGTCTCCACCTCATATGATATTGGCCACTCTCTACTTTGTGCTTCAACTGTCTCAGTCATTGTCTTTTCTTGCCCACTCAGAACTATGATGACAAATATTTTCTTGAAGATCCTCCTACCTTATACATCAGATTAAATTTGTCACATGTTCTCTAGAAAGCTATTCTTATAAATTACTATGCTATATTAATCACAGGCTCATGCATGCACACATAGGGACAACATTTGTAACAAGCTATGTAGTCTAGAGGATGAATAAAGTTTTTAAAACACATTGACAATGCTTGCATATTTGAAAGTTAAACAGAATTTAAACATTTTCTTTTCATTTTTTTTTTTTAACAGGCAGAGTTGGACAGTGAAAGAGAGAGCGACACAGAGAGAAAGGTCTTCCTTCCCTTGGTTCACCCCTCAAATGGCTGCTACGGTTGGCACACTGTGCTGATCCGAAGCCAGGAGCCAGGTGCTTCCTCCTGGTCTCCCATGCAGGTGCAGGGCCCAAGCACTTGGGCCATCCTCCACTGCCTTCCCGGGCCACAGCAGAGAGCTGGACTGGAAGAGGAGCAACCGGGACAGAATCTGGCACCCCGACCAAGACTAGAACCCCAGGTGCCAGCACTGCAGGCGAAGGATTAGCCTAGTGAGCCACGGCGCCGGCCTAAACACTTTCTTTTCATTATATATTTACCATATACATATGTATAAACAAATATGCTTTATTCTTAAAAAAGGATAGCATCCATTCTCCAAAATACACTATGTTCTGTTGGATTGGATTAGATTGGGAAATTCTATTAATTAGCGAAGGTTGATTAAATGCATGTTGTTTGTTCTACACAATTCTGACTAGACAGAAATTTCTAAAGATATATGTTGGCACCAAAGACCAGTTTCTAATATCTTGACCAAGCAGTTGATTACAGAGGAGAGCCCTTTAAAATATATAAACTGCTCAGAGAAGTAAAAGTTACAGAATAAAACAAATCGGTTTTATTAAAACAGGCCTATTTTTACAACAAGTATCTCAAATCTACTATAATAAATCAAACTTGATGCCAGCTGACATGTTGTGCGCTGCCTATGGTGAGGTCCTTATACCAAGGACCAGAAAGAGGCACTTGATACTCTGCAAGGAACTGAGGTCCTCAGTACAGCAGCCGATGACGCCCTTTCACCTGCCAACAATGGCATGAGTGAGTTGGAAGGTGATCCTTCCCCATTCGTGCCTTCAGAGACCAAAGTCTCTGCCAACACTTTCATTGCAACATCAGATATTTGTAGGCAGAAAACCTAGATAAACTGTGCTATGATTCCTAACTCACAACAACCATCATGGAATACATGTCATTTTCTCAAACAAGTGAGATCTGATGTGATGTTTTATATATTAAAAGGTAACTAATACACTAAATAATCAAGTAACTGGAAAATGATAAAAATAGATTTACTCTCTCTAACAAGGGCTTGTAAACTTGTTTCAAAACACACATACATCTGTGTAGCTGTAATAGCATAGTTTCTACAGCTCAAATGCCGGGTTTGACCTCAGACTTGCTGCTTATACTTGAGTGACCTGGTAAAAATATTGAACCCGTCTATGCTTTCTCATCTGCAGAATGGAAAGGCTAACAGCAACTTGTTCTTCACATTTAGTGGATGAGAGTGCTTGGAACCCGAGCTCTGACACTGTACTTGCGATGCAAACGTGAGTCCATCCCATTACTGTGGCAGAACCTTGTGCCTGATACATGACTCTCTTGCTCAGTAAACACCTGTCTCCCGATTTCCACCTAACATGATTGATCCATGAATGTAAGTAGTTCTGAAGCCAAAGCAGAGATCACTGTCTGAACGCTAAATATTTTTGAGTAAAATTCTGAGTAGAATAGTTTTTTATTGAAAATTCTGTTCACACCAGTACTGAGTGCAATGATACCATTTGCACAAACCAAGTATGGAGCTGATTTTTTGTGAGTACTCACTTAACAGAGATCTGAGAGTCCTCTCTATTCAACGAATGAAAGAAAGGAGAGAGAAGAAAAATGAGAAAATGAAGATTTCAACTCTACTTGAAGTAACCGTCTTCCAAAAATGAACTTTTTTTTTTTAAGAAAAGCAGATGGACAAATAACTCTTCTTTTTTTTAGATTTATTTTATTTATTGAAGAGACAGAATTATAGAGAGAGGTAGAGCCAGAGTGAGAGGTTGTCCATCCTCTGCTTCACTCCCCAAATGGCCACAATGGCCACAACTGAGCTGATCCCAAGCCAGGAGCAGGAGCTGCTTCTTCCCCTGCGCATGCAGGGGCCTGAGGACTTGGGCCATCTTCTACTGATTTCCCAGGCCACAGCAGAGAGCTGGATCGGAAGTGGAGCAGCCAGGACTGTGGGATGCCAGCACTGCAGGCCGGGGCTTTAACTCACTGCCCCACCGCACCCGCTCCCCAAAAATGGATTTCAAGTATTCTAGGAAATGAAAACCAAAATGAATAAAATCCGGTCAACTGAAGTTGTATCTGTTGTAAACTAATGTTTTGTTAAGTGAAATAAACCAAGCACAGAAAGACAAATACCGCATGTTTTCACTTACATGTGGAAGTGAAAACAGTTGATCTCAAAGAAGAGAGTAGTGTTCACTGGAGGCTACAAAGTGTGGGGGAGGGGATGGAGGGAGGTTGGATAACGAGTACCAAAATACAGGTAGAGAGGAGGAATCAGTACTAGTCTGCTAAAACTCAGCAGACTGTCTTAAACTTACAATAGTATATTACATAGCGTATAAAGAACTAGAAAAGAGAAATTTGAAGCTTCCCAACACAGAGAAATAATGAATGTGTGAGGAAATGTTAATGACCCTGATTTGTTCATTACATGCATATGTCTGTATCAAATTATCACTATCTATTCCATAAATATGTGCAGTTATTTTTGACATAAAAATAGATATGAATATTGCACAAAACAAGGTGTGCTTCTCACCGACTCTTCATCATTTTCATCATCAGCCCTGGCAGAGCTGGAGACCACCCAAATGTAAAAAGGGTCCTAGGACTTCGGGGAGCTTCCACAAGGACCGAGCTGGTGGTGGACGCTTATCTAAACCTGTGGGTGTGTGAATTTCCAGCCACAAGCCTTGGGAGAACAGATTGAGTACCACATTCCTGGTATTCCTTCCCAGTGGGCCCAGAAATACCCAAGGAGAAAGTTTCTCATGCACTCCTTGCCAAAATATTACACTCCAGTCTCCCACAGCACTCTCTTCTGCAGTGAATTCTAATTTGATTCAAAAAGTAAACTAAATGTGTATGTGGAGGAAAAGCTCTTCCCTGATTATTGTCACTGAGACAGAATCAGAACGATGTTCAAAAAATTAATAGCCCAGAAGATAAAGTCTTAGGCTATTTGATTCTTATTGGAGGAATAAGCTTCTGAGTGGAGAGTTTATTTTTTTCTTTAACTTTCCCATTGACTGCTGTATGCAGGAGCCTGCCGCAGATTTGATAGGCACCAGCCACCTTATTTCTATGTCAACAGAGATTCTCTACATATATACAGAGGATATATACAGGCAGGGCCTGGAAATTGCTCTCATGTACCGTCTCCAGTTGAAGCATTTCAAGTTCCCATTGTAATGAAGAATTGGACTAGAAGCATCAGAGTCTATTTTATGAACTATTTCGTAAGATAGTCCTGAAGATACGGGTTGGTGACAAGACAGGTCTGATTTGCATCTGAATACAATCCCCTTATCCAAGTAAATGGACCTCAGGGAAGAATGCCTAGGAATCCCTGAGTAGTTAAATACAAAGAACTTACTTTAGTTTATTTTAGTTCACTGATTTAATCTCTCCTTTTGTTATTTTTTTCATCAAGCTAATAAAAGAAACTTAGAAGCCAACTTAGAAATCACTCATCTTTTGCCCACTATTCTCTAATGAGTAATAGACTTGCCAAGACACTTTCAGCAAAAGAAAATGAGCAGAAAGAAAAAAAAAATCTATAAAATATATGAGGTGAAACGTCAATGTCCAGAAACACAAGTGATGGCTCTTATACTCTCCAAAAATTGCCAAGGCTGAATAACTCCAGAAAATTGACTTTGGACCATCTCAGTGATGGTACCATTCCTTGACACTTTCACAGAGGGTAACCATGATGCTTGAGGTTTCCCAGGACAAGCGGAATAGAACTCACCCAAATGGGCAAGTGGATTCCCCAGTGCCCAGTGTTCTGTGCCTCCATTCACATGAATGGAGTCCCTGATCCCAGACCTTATTTGAATGAAAGAAGGCCACTGTAGAATAAAACACTGAGCTTCTCTAAACACACTGGGATCTGGTCTGTAGTAGACGTTTGTTTGACACCATTGTGTCCACCCTTCAGACCATGCTTTCTCCAAGCCCAAAGCGACAATAAATGTGGAAGATTCCTGGACTGCTTCCACATTCCTGCGCTCACGAATCCCCTCTTTACCACACTCTCACACATACCTGTGAGTGTAATTGCTCTTAAAATGGGAAAAGCTAAAAGAAAACAACTCATTTTAGAAATGACCCAGGTCACGAGGCTTCCTGGTTTTTATTGCCACTTCAAAGCCAAACCAGATAAACTGGCTTAAGGTACCGCTTTGGCATTGAATGGAATTCGGTACAGCTGTCTGAGCAGCACGAGTTGAGTTTTGAGATCATAGGAATTTTGCTGGAAAGCCTCGCCTCTGATCCTTATATGGCAGAGTCCCTGTGCTCTCTGGTCTTTCGTGCCAAGAATTCCTTTTCTGTCCTCTGCCCCAGCAGGCTCAGGACTTCCAGTGGTTCTGATAGTTTTATCCCTCATCTTTTCAGAAATTCACATGAGAGATGTTAATTCTGCTGCTCAATTTAAACTGCTTACGATTCATTTCCAGTATGCTCCAAGCAGCAGCGTAGACCGCAAGTGGAGGCCAGCAAATTCCTGGATGCCACGTTCCCCACCTCCTTCAGATGGCCTTGACTCACACATCCTGTCTGGGCTAATGTTGGTTTTCTGATTGCAGAGTGTCTGGAGTCTCCGCTAGTGCCCAAGCCACCCTCAAAGGGTCACTCCCTGTTTCAAGTAGCACTTGTGCTTCCCTTGACCTTTCTCTGTCTCTGATTCCACTTAGGAAGCCTGTTAGAGCCAGTTTTCAGCAGAGAGTGTGTCCTTCGCTTCAAGCCACTCTGTCATAATGATTTGTCTAGTGTTTCAAAGGTAGCTTGACCAGGAAATGCCCAAGCCTGAGATATGAATAGATAATTTCTAGATCAGACAAGCGATACTAAACCTTTAAAGGGAAAGTTTTTACCCCTAAAGGGAATAGGAAATCCGTCTGAGTTATTCATACCGTACTTAGGAAATAACCCAAGTTGAAAATAAATGTGACATGTGAAACGGAATATCCACTAAAATTTCTGGTCGCATCTGCAATTATGTCTAAGGTTTTCCATTTCTCCGTTCAGCTTTAATAATAAAAACACAGGGTCCAAGTATCATTCCCTGAAAAATGAAGCAAGAGATGAGTTTAATCATGAACATCAGGCAGACATGGAAAGCTGCAAGAAATATATTGATCTTTGTCTTCCGAATGTCCACAGCATTGTGCCAGGTTAAAGCAAAACAAAAAAGAAATTTACAGGTTTAGTAGGAAAGGCTATAAAGATGCGAAGGAGAACAAGCTTAGTTTCCATTGTCATGGAAAGAGCTGGTTATTTCTAAAAAATGCTTTGTTCACATTTAAACTGTTATCTTTCATTTTCAAACAAAATTCCTCATATGGGAATGGTGCATCCACAACTGATGTTCTGAATTGATCTAGTATTAATAAAATTATAGGTTAAGAAGACCCACCACTTTTAATTTTTTCTCGTGTTCAGGGAAATGTATTTCTACAAAATTTAGGTCTATATTTTAAGAACGAGTTTTCCCAATAACCAAAACGTGACATAAGCAAAATATTTGAAAGTGCTTCAAAAATTCAAAGACATCTTTTTGGTTGTGTTGTTTGCTTTCCATTTTTCCATGGGTTCTAGCACTTTTTGTCTCAACTTGGGATAAGAAAAGAAACTACTCAAGTTCAGTAAGTCAGGGATATTAGCAACCTTCTAAGCTCCCAAATTGGAAAACATGTCCAATATTACATGTGGCATACCCACATCCTTTTGAAGTTTGGCTATAAGCAGCTTCACTCAAAAAAAAGGCAGGGGGAGAAAGTAAAGAAAAAATAAATCAACATTCAAAAAACAGAGCTTATGAGCCCACCATTGGCAGCAGTTGAAAAGGTGACAAGAGAGTTGATATAGACTCAGGATGTTAGATTCCCCCTCAGCAGTACCCACTGTGTGAAGCTGACATACCTGAGACAGGGTTATTTGCATATTAACATTATAGACTAACCCTATTCTTCAACCACCAGATACAGCTGCATTTAACCATCTAGTATCTGTGTTTCACTGTGACAAAGTTATGTCACCAATATAGCTTTTCCTTAAAGCCTCACATAATTACTTGATATTTCACTTTTCTTCAAAACTTGAAGATATTCACAGGAAGCTCCTTCCACAAAGATGAGCACATTTCCCAATTGTTCTTACTTATCTCTTCTGACTTCGGGTTCCCCCAACTGGTCTAAATGATGAAAAACACCAACAGAAGAGAAATCACTATAGGGTAACACTGTGCCCCACTGTGCCCAGACAACCGAAACCTTCACTGTCAATGGACCTCCAAAAAAAAAATACTTCAATGGATTTGTGAAAGAGTGGAATATTTAAGTACATATGCTCATACTGCTCACAAAAAACCAGATCACTTTAGTTTTTAAGTGCAAATCTTTTTTTATTAAGAAATACCTGATTTCAACTAGGGCTACAAACTACAGCTGTATGTTGCTTCTAAAACTTCATAGCAAATGGAATTAAAAAGATAAGTTTATTTTGATGCCAAGAAATTTTGCAATACTTAAGAGGAGTTCTCAAAAAGTTCATGGAAAGCCATAGTAATCCATTATTCGTACTTTGGAAACGTATATTCATTAAATAAAAGTTAAAAAAAAAAAAAAAAGTTCATGGAAATCCATATTATGAAAATGCAATGTTCGGACTTCTAAAATTTTTGTAATAAAATTAAATTATCTTTTTTTTTTTATTTATTTGAGAGGACAGAAGGCAGAGGATTTAAGAGAGAGAGATAAAGAGAGAGGAGAGAGAGAGAGACAGGGTGCTCCCATCTGCTGGTTCACTTTCCAAATGCCCAGGATGGCCCACACTAGCTCAGGCCAAGCCAAAGCTCTGAGCCAAAAACTCAATCCAGGTCTCCCACATGACTGGCAACCATCTAATCACTTGAGCCACCATCTGCTGTCTCCCAGGATGCACATTATTAGCATTAGATAGCAAGAGCCAGATTCGAGTATTGAACCCACGCACCCCACTATGGGATGTGGGCATTCCAGGTAGTGTCAACCACTCGGCCAAATGCCCTCCCCTACACTCATCTTTTAATCCCAGCATTCATTAATTTTGAGGCCCCTTTTGTGTACATGTATATCAAATAAATCATCTCACCACTAATCATTGTCACAGTTTCAGTTGACCAGCTAGTCAACAAGGAAAAACCCCTCGAGCAACAATTTTTCATCAAGTAATTACATGTCTTAGAAGCAAGCATTTCCCCCTTATTCCCCTAATTGAATGACTCCGGATCACACTATTCTTTGACCTACCCCACTGAAATATCTATCTCTGTACCCATCTTACAGACAGAGCTAATGCGGTGAGTTGTGATGGAGGGTAAGTGTCAGAAAAAGCTTCTGTTCCAAGATAGCATACTTACCCACCTGCTACAGGATCCCAAATAGCACCATGTCAGGACCACTTCTTTCTTCCATGATCCTTCAACAATTCTAGCAAATTCAGCTGTGTCCTAAAAGCAAAGCACATCTCATTTGAGCTATTTTGCTTCCAGGAGAGATCCAGAAGTCTCTCAGAGATCAGCTGTGCTGGGAACTCAAAGAAACAAATCCTGAACGCAGCAGAAGGGGAGCCGGGGAGGATGCCAGGTCTACTGCAGACAAGTGGTTAATGCTTTAGGGCAGACTCTGCTTGCGGTGATAAATTATGTCTTCTGCTCCTTAAATTCCATATCCAGTTTATCTTTTCCCCCTTTAGTCTCTGTGTCTGAACTGCTTGCCCTCAACTGTAATTGCTTCTACTGCTCCTTTATGAGTCATAGTAGATTCAGCTAAGTCCACCTTGGAAAATTCTACTGGAAAGAGAACACCTGATAATGTGATATCTCAGTGAATTACTGTTTCTCTTCCCAGCATTCCTATCCATATTTGGACTCTGTAGCCATGGCAGAGCCATTTTTCTTGTATTAAGAACATAGTAAAATCTTTCATGTAATACAATTATTCTATGGTTAAATCATTCCTTTCTTAGAAAAATGTCTGCCTAGAAAATGATATATTTGATATACTACATTGGAAAATTTAGGGGCTGCGAGAGATGATTAGCAGGCTTTTCCCTAGCTCATCATGAAAGTAAAGCAGGGGGTTGGGGGGAACCAAGAGGGGAGAAAGTGCTTGGATGAAGAATTTAACATCCCAGTGGAAATTCTGTAAAGCTCAAGACCTACTGAATGATGTTTAACAGGCCCGCACCTACCTCTGCAAAGAGAAACGGAAAAGGAAAAGGAGGGAGGGAAGCACGCAGCTGATCTTTGAAGCAAAGCTTCAAAGTCCCGCAGGAAGGTCCCTGGGTTCCTTTCACCCACAGTAGCTGAGCTGTGAAAGATAGCACCTTGTCGTCTGCTGCCCCAGGCTAAGCTCCTCAGCTTATGCAGAGACCAAGAACCAGGTTCTCAGGCTAGGAATCTGAAAAGAATGGGGTCCAGTCTGAATTTTACTGATCTTTTTTTCATAGCCAGAGTAGAAATGTTCCAAAGTATTTCACACATATTTTCCTTTCTTCACGTGAGTTCTGAGGGTCCTTTGGCTCATGTAAAATATGATTTATGTATCGAGGTAGCTCTGTGAACAAGACCACACTCACTCCTTCCAAGCTGCACTCTTCTTCACATTTGAGCAGAACTTCCCAAGGAAAACTCATCAGACTTTAAACCAAAAATACACAAATAGAATATTCCCGCTAGAGTATGCGAGGAAGAAAACAGGAAAGAGTCCCTCTGCCAGGTGGGTTTGACCTTTGCATGGAGGGAAGGTAGCCCTCTATGACCACAAAACAGCGAAGCAGTAACATTTATTCACACATATGTGCAAACGTTGGGAGAGGCAGGTATGAAGCAATTTTATCACTCCTGATTCATTTGATGAGAATTAAATTCATCAGAGGCTGGTTCTGTGGCGCAGCCAGTTAAGCAGCCACCTGCAAGTTGGCATCTCACAGGAGAACAGGTTCTAGTACTGGCAGCTCCACTTCCTATCCAGCTCCCTGTTAATGTGCCTGGGGAAAGCCACAGGAGATGGCCCAAGCGCTTGGACCCCTGCCAACCAAGTGGAAAACCCAGATGGAGTTTCTGGCTTCTGGTTTTAACCTGGTCCAGCCCCAGCTGTTGTAGCCATTTGAGGAGTGAATCAGCAGATGGAAGATATTCTCTCTCTCTCTCTCTCTCTCTCTCTCTCTCCCCTCCCCATAATTCTGTGTTTCAAATAAACAAATAAATCTTTAAAAAAGAATTACATTCATCACTTGAGACTGCCCTACATCTTTCAAATCTAACATTCTTATATATTGGATAGTTTGTACATTTTAACTCTTTTTTATTTTCAAGAAAAATTCCGACATCTCAGGGCTGGTGTGCGACCTAGTGATGAAGCTGCAGGTTAATATGCCCACATCACACATCAGAGTACCTCGGCTGAATACTTGCTCTGGTTTCTGAGCCCGACTTCCTGCCAATGCAGACCCTAGCAAACAGTGGTAATGGCTCAAGGAGTTTGGGTCCCTGCAGCTCATCTGAATATAATCCCTGCCTCCTGGCTTCAGCCTGGTCCAGTCTGGCCTTTGCAGTTGTGTCAAGAGAGAATCAGCAGATGGGAGCTCTCCCAGTCCAGCGTCCTGCCTCAGTCTCTTTGTCCTACTGTCTCTCACGTAAATTAATAGGAAATAAAAGAAAAACACAGACACAACATTCAGATCCTCAGGCTCCTTTGAAGCACATGACATCGGTCTTAGCCATCAGACTTATGGAGATGATAGGAAGACTTGGAGCGAAACAGCATATGGGGATCTTGAACTTCCACCAGCTGTTTTTGAAGATACAATGCCCAGTCCCTCAAGGTCTGCAACAGCTGAGCTTCTGGTGTCCAGATGAAATTCTCTTGGATTTGGCAGTAATGTTTTCATTACAGATGCCTCTGTCTTGTGATTGGGCGCCGGTCTTGTGTCTTTGAAATCTGACTCTCTGGCCATTTTGGCTACAATCTCTAATGAACATCCTTCTGCTTAAATTATCGCAAATGTGTCCTTTTATTTGTAACTAAGGATATTAACCAACATACTGCCCATGGAATTTTCATTATTTCTTAGATGAACCCAACCTTACCCTGCTTAGTATGAAAGCATCTGTCCTCCCCAGCTGTGTTTGCTAATGGTTGTAACTATGGTGACAAAAGAAGAAAGCGCATCTTCTTCCTTTAATAGAATTGACAATGTTGTGGTGAGAGCTATACGGATGGGAGCTAACGGTCCCTGTTATATCTCTCTTGGATATTACAATGTGAGGAATAAAGACTCAAGAATACCAACAATTAAACAAGCATTACTAGGTACACAAACATGAGAAAGTAACTGCAGGCAGACCCACTTGCCAATATCTGAGGAATGGTATCGGGTTGTGAGAGTTCTCCAATGGCCTCCACTGCCCCTTACCTCCTGCTTGTCACACCCTTCTGTAAGTCCTTCCATTTGTGGGTGGGCTAGACCTAGCAGATTGCTTCTAACAAATAGAATATAGCAAAAGGAAACGAACAGTCACTTCCGAGATTACGTTACAAAAGCTTCTGTCTTCTGTCCTACTTACACTCTCTCTCTCTCTTCTCTCGGCTTGCTTTGATGAGGCAAACTGCCATGTGACAGGCAGGCTTCTCAGAGGAGGAGTCTATTTAGCAAGTCCATTAAGAGAGGGCCTGGGCCAACCACCAATACAGAACAGAGACCATCAGTCCAGCAGCTCAGGAAGAATAGAATCTTATCAGTAAACACATAAGCAGTCTTGGAAGTTGATCTTTTCCCAATCAGCCTTGAAGTGACTGTAATCCCTACTGCCGTGTTTATTAACATGTTAGCAGAGACTGAGCCACAGGCACCCAGCATAACTTTGTCCAGACTTCTGATCCATGGAAGCTAAACCCATGAGTGTTGTTTTAAGTCATTAAGGGTTTTTTAAAATGATTTCCTATATGATGGTAGATAACCAATACAAAATTAAATATTATTTTCTGAGGTCCATATACATTTTTGGGATTATTAAGGCCTTCAGTAATGTCCCTAAGGAAAAAGAAGAGGGATGTTTGACTTTTCTTTGTCTGGATGGTGCAGTCAGTTTACAGAAATTTGAATTCTAGCATAGTTTGTGATAGCTAAAATGATAAAAACTTAAAGTTTCAAAAAAAAAAAAGGATGAAGGGGCAGGTGTTTGGTGGAATGATTATGATTCCAGTACAGATACCCACATTGGAGTGCCTGGGTTCAAGTCCTAGCTCTGTTCCAGATTCTAGATTCCTGCTAATTTGCACCCTGAGGGAAAGGGGAGGGCGGGAGTTGGTTTTTGGCCATTCATGTGGGAGACTTGAACTGAATTCTCCACTCTTGGTTTCAGTGTGGCCCAGCCCCAGCTATTGCAGGCATTTGAAGAGTGAACCAGCAAATGGGAGTTCTCTCTGTCTATGTTTCTAAGACTCAAATAAAATAAATACTTTTTTTAAAAAAAAGTGATAAAAGCCTTGGGGATGAGTAGTCTTTGGGGGTGAGTTACCCTAATAGGAAGAGGAACTTTGGGGAAAGAGTAGAAATGGTGAAAGATGACTTAGGAAAGCATGGTTTACTAGACAATATGAAATGTAAGCTTTTTCTCCTCCCTATGAAACATTTAGTAAACTCCACATTCTTCGTTCAAGCATTTGGGGTTAGATTTGAGTTGTGGAGAAAGTAAGATCCTGAGACTCGCTCAGAGTGCCTCAGACCTAGTGAACTCAGGTTAAAATAAACTAAGCAACTCCCTTGCATTTGTGAGAGATGATTGCATAAACTACACGTCTAGGAGGTTCAAATGGGAAAGAAAAATGAACCAAGGGCATCCTTTGAAAAATAAAGTGCATGTACAGGTCATTACCGCATAATCAAGAGCATTTTAGTGGCCAAAGAACGAGGGAGATTCGTTTGTCTTTTCAAAAGGAGTTATGAGAACCAGCATATTCTACAGGACAACTTGCTACCATTTTAAAAGGGCAGGTTATCCACATAATTCATCCTGATATTTAATGGGATTACCTCAGCAAAATAAAATCAGGATGGCAAATGCTCTTTGGATAACATAGAAGCAGTAATGCAAATTATAAATTCTCCTCTCATAATTTTATTCACAATAAAATCCTACAGTTGCCAATGGACTCAAGAGAACATTTAGTTTATTTCTTATGGTCTTGGGTGAGAATACCAATTTTACCCTTCTAATTATCTATTAAAAACCCATACATCTCTGTGAAAGGTAATGATTCAATATTCCAACAGCAGATTTCAGAGCCATGTATATCTGACAAAATTATTTTAATCTTTTTGTAATATTTCACCTTATTAATTGAAGACCTCACTGCAAAAGACCTGAAATTGGTCCTGGAACTGGTACCTTTGCCATAAAAGTTTATCTGTGCCTCTTTCCTACTCGTAATTCTAGAATTTAAACGTCTCCTTTCATTCTAATCCATTTCCTACCTGCTTCTTAGATATTCCCGTTTTCTTAGCTCCTAAATTTACTATTTTCCAATCTGCCACTTCTTGAGCACCTACTTTGTTTTGAGCATTTTTTAGAAAGCCTGGTGGTGAGGCACGAAACTTGCTTGAGCAGAAAAATATTCAATATAATCAAATGCTAAAATGTCTGGAGGAGGCAGCAGTTCTGAGGAGACTGAGCAGAGAAAACAAAGCCAAACAAGATGAGCTGGCCGCAGGTTACAGGGTCTTCTCCAGTCTCCGACCTGCAGCAAACTCCATTAGAAGCATGG